GACCAGGACTCACTGTGTTCTCTCTGTCCCAGGGGTCCTGTCCCAGGTGCAGCTGCAGGAGTCGGGCCCAGGACTGGTGAAGCCCTCGCAGACACTGTCCCTCACCTGCACTGTCTCTGGTTACTCCATCACCAGTGGTTACTATTGGAGCTGGATCCGCCAGCCCCCAGGAAAGGGGCTGGAGTGGATCAGGTACATACATAGTGGTGGGAGCACTTACTACAGCCCTTCCCTCAAGAGCCGAATCTCCATCTCCAGAGACGTGTCCAAGAACCAGTTCTCCGTGCAGCTGAGCTCTGTGACCACCGAGGATACGGCCGTGTATTACTGTGCAAGAGACACAGTGAGGGGAAGTCAGTGTGAGCCCAGACACAAACATCCCTGAGGGAGACAGCAGGGCTCGGCTGCAGGGAGCGTCCAGGACACCAGGGGGCGCTCAGGACCAGCAAAACCAGGGTCTCAGCTCAGAGGCTGTCCCTGGAGGGCTGTGCAGGCTTCCCATTGGGGTCAATGCTTTCTTCCCTCCTAGTGTCCCTGGGGCAGTTCCTCTTCCTTCTTTGTGTCTTTAATTAGATTCTCTGCAGGGAAAAAGCAGGAAGTGGCTGTGTGTCAGATCTGGTCGACTTCTCATCTGTGCCCTTCCTGTCACCATGTCCCTGATGGTCGCTCTCTGGGTTGACAAGGAAAACATTGTAAGGATTCCTGTCCCCTCGCTGAGAGCGATGTCCCCCACCCTCCATGCAGTGCTGAGCTGGGAACACGGAATCCAGGCCCCAAACCTCTCCTGAGGGTGATCAGCCCCTCGCTCTGCCCCAGGAGGAGCCCTTTGGGGGCAGTTTGCTGCTTGCCCCTCACTGACATGGCAGTACATAGAGGTTGAGGGTCAGATCCTGCAGGCACTGCCTTTCATGAGCCTCGGAGATGGCCCCAGCTCTCAGGGTGTACCGGGAATGAAGCAGGAAAGAGGCCCAGTGACAGGCCCTGTCACAACCCTGCTGGGCCCTGTTCCTGTGGGTCTCAGGACCTGGTCCCAGGGGACGTGTCCCAACACCTGTCCCGCTTCCCCTGGAGAATCCACCTGCATCTTGAGAACCTGCTGAAGGGAGACATGGTCCAGTCACCTCTGCTGTGCCTCCAGCTCCACATACTCCACCCCATCCTCACCCTCTGCCTCTCACACTCTGTCCTGTGCCGCCCACACTCTCACCCCATGGGGCCTGCACAGAACATCCCCTGTGGCTATGTCTTCCCTCTCCTTGGGCCTTTGTAGGTTTTGCCTTAAATGCAGCCCCCACGTAATCCCCTCATTCTCATCTCCTGTGCCAGGCCCTCCCTGAGATTCCAGGGTCAGGGCCACTTAGGTGGCCTGAAGTGACCTCACGTACCCTGCCTAATCCACGTGTAGTACCCACATGTAATTTCAGGCTATGGGGGCTCCACCTGTGCCAGGTGGAGACACAACTGAGCAATGACCTCACAGCACCTCCAACAGCTCACCCCTGTGCTGAGGGCAC